TCTTCGTGACGGGGGTTTCCTATATGGAGTTCGGACTGCCTCATTCCAGGAGCCTCTCTCCAACTGTCCTGAAACCTTTCCGTCAGGATTTCCTTCATCCTGAGGTTGTTTCAGGATCGAGTGACCCCTAAGATTGGCTCTGGGCCAATCACTGAACCTTTCGCCCCCTTTCTGGCCAGACCATCGGCCATTTCGTTACCTTTTACCCCTGAGTGTCCAGGGATCCACAAAAGACATACTTTGTTCGTTGCTGACAGAATTTATAGGCTATCTATGCACTCTGACACCAAGGCGGAGGTCACCCTATACGAGGTGAGCGCCTTGATCGCCGCCTGGCTGTCAGTGCATATAGTGATTTGCTGGCTGTGACAGCCCCTCTCGATATTCTCTAGAACACATGCAAGTATTGCAAATACTTCAGCCTGAGAAGTCGTGGCATGTTTCCCAAGGGTATAGTAATGATTTGCCCTTGGGGACTGCCCATAGACCCCAGCACCTGCGCATTCTTCCATCCTGGAGCCATCTGTATACCAGATGATGCCCTTGGTGGGTATTATGCAGTGCCCATTTTGGTCCCAGTCTATCCTAGTAGGAATTTTGACTTGGGGCATTTTTCTGAATGGAATGATCGGTATTATGCTGTCCCCTTTCATACTGAGTGAGGGGTAGTCGTCTGTAATTTGCTTCCAGAGGCGAGAATGTCCGTATGTTCCTTCGCTCCTCCACTGGTTACAGCTTTGTAAGCCACCATACGATGGCCCCATATGAGAGCGGAATACATCCAGTGAAGGATACTTGGCTTGAGCCCCCACGTTCCCCCAAACGTCCTCCTGGACCTTCCTCTCAATATGCTCGTTCCAATTGAGCCTAGAGTCAAGAATGACTCCTAGATATTTGGTGGCGCCTTTATACCGCAGGGACTTACCCGATAGTCGTATATCGGGGAGATCCCCTGCATTGCGTTTTCTGGTGAAAAGGTGTATAAAAGATCCAAATATAATGTAATGCATTGTTACTTGATATGTATCATTATGTATAATGTATATTTGTATTGCTAGGTGTCATGTTTTGTATCATCTGTTTTCATTTTCGGAAAATAAATATTTCCTCCATAAAGTTGAATAATTATAATTATCTATCCCAGTATGACGTATTTGTAATATAAAATATACACATGTATGTGACTTGGTAGTGATATTTCATGTGATGTCGCATTTCATTTCTGGACGACGTCACAATGATGATCCTTATAGATCCTTGAGTCGAAGATTTTCAGATAGTCACATTGTATCGATAACATGTTTCTGACTTCTAATGCGATATCGCATGTCACAAAGTGATGTTGTGTATACATCTCTTAGTTGGCTGGGTACACTTCTCTAAGAAATTAACACACCACCAAATAGTAGGCAAGAGTTTATGAAACATTTTCGTCAAAACTACTTGTCCAATTTGGACGTTTTTTGATTGAAAGACCGGATATCTTCTTCTGCATGAGCATTGATGTGCGAACTGTATTCATATAAAAACCTCTTTTTCATATACATACTTGGAATAGCAATCACAACGTGGTATTTTCATGAAGTTTGTAATACACTGTAGAGTGTAATAGTCACATTATCAAGTTGGAATTGAAATAACACTTTAGCCGTATATCTTTTTTCAACATTTCTTTTTTGGATTCACTCTCTATTATTTTTCCTATTAATGGAGATTCCATAGCGTATTTCATGGAAAATTAATATATACAAATGAAACTGTTGTGATTTGAGTAAGGATAACGCAGTTCAACGGGAAAATAGATTTGTAATAGTTTAATAATTATGACAATTACTGATTGAGATTGACAATCAACAAATTCAATTCTTTTCTAAAACAAAACATAGAATATGTATACAGGGTGAACATATATAAATAAATACACATTGAAAAGACTACATATTCAACAGAAACAATAACGAGTATTTCCGCCGCGGGCACCAATACCTTCTTGGCTATAAGACGACCTATACCTATATTCCAATAAAATTTGAAACCAGTCTCTGCCGTGCGTTTTTCACAGTATTCAAGTTATGTCCCTCTTGTAATCGTGTCTCAAAAGAGTACCCCAGAGGTTCTCAATGAGATTTAAATCCGGGATCGGAGCTGGTCATGCCATGGTAGCGATGCAGACTTGGTTCCAAAATCACGAATATGTACACCTTTCAGCTGTAAGGCTTCCAATAAAAAATGTATCTCAGTGAGGTCTTCTTGTAATTTGTCATTTATTTAGTTTATATATTTACATTTTTGTAAAAACCCAACTATTCCTATACTTTCTTGGAAAGTCTAAAGGAAAATAAAATTATGTATTTATTTACAGGACCAGTCAAAGCAATGTCTTCCCAGATCAACTTTTTGCCACTCTTTGTGCTTATAATGCCAAATGAATTCAATAATATCTGACAATTATTTGTTGTGGCAGGGCAATCTTTTTACAAAGAAAAGGCATTAAACAATACTATCTTCTGTGAAAAGTATAGAATATGAATCTGAAGTTATTGCAAAACCAGTTCAAGTATAAGCACTGAAACCGATTTTGCAGGAATCATTTTCAGAAACCATCAGACACTCTATGAGTGAGTATATTTACTGGCCGGTAGATGGCAGTCGCGCTCAGTTCAACAACTTATATTGTTTATGCAGGAACAGAACTTGGTCTCTAAATGTATAAATCTGTAATAATACCATGAAATGAGAATTTTGCATTTATACATTTTTTACACTAGGCCCTTCAACTGTAACACTCCGCAGAGTATTACAAATTTCATGAAAAAAACACACTATAATTGCTACACCCGGTATTCCTCAAAAAGAGGTTTTCATGTTGCAGAGAAACTGGGGTCGGGGATAGCTGATGGATTAATTTATGAAGACTTTGTGAAGTATCTACAAGAATGACCAAACACCAATAACCATTTATTTAACAAATAAATGTGAATATTGTATTTTATTTATTAAAGGCTCATTAATGGCGACACTTTGTCTGTTTTCTGTGATAGTCAAGCGAGAAAAGAAATCCTTCATGGCCACCAAAATTTCAAGGAACCACAAAAAACGAGATTCAAAAGATAAGCTTGCAGAGATGGTGCTACAAAAAACGCGGCAGAGATCATCGATTCGAATGGAAACCGAAGTGTTGTTGGTTGCAGAATCTTCAGTAGGGAAATAATAAATGTATGAACTAACCTACGCATATGCAACCAGCAATACTGGAACTGGACGACTTTGCAGGTTGCCAAGCGTACGTCAAATAACCCAAACTACTGAAATTACACTGATTGATTTATGCACACAAATAGTAATGAAGTAGCTATTACTGGAGGAAAACGTAAACAGTAGGCAAATGAAATAAGGAAACAAAATACTTTGTATATATCTTAAATGAACTTTAGGAACAACGGTACGATTATTGTGATGAGAGGTTTCAGCACAATGTGAATACCATTTGCACACCAATGTTCAGAAGAAATTTGCCGCCAATATTCAGAAGAAAATAACCCATCATTCAAAACAAAAATCTTCCAAAGCATCAGACAAGTAGTTTCTCTGAAAATGTATCTCAAACTTTAATAAACTTTTCGGTGGTGGGATGATTTTTTGGGGAAGTGTATATACATTATACTAGGGTTAATGTTCTCAGAAAATGCAATGAAAGGAAACTAGAATCCAAATTTTTTTTCAATCATTATGTATGTGAAAAAAATTCAAATTCACAAAACATTGATGAGATTGCAAAAACCATGTGAAAATAGTTGTTCTAAATGAAGATAGGATTTAAAGGGGATTTTATCTAAAAAATGTAACTGCTGCTTTTTGATTTCATTGCATTTTTCGAAAAAATTTACCACAGTAATGTATATATTTTTTTACACTATGAGAAAGTAGAGATTTCAAGAAACAAAAAGCCCTGTGAAAAAATGAATGTTTCAAATAAAAAAAATCAAAGTGTATTTGGGACATAAAGAGCTAAGTTTTCACCAAATTTCGTAAAACAATTCTTTTTTATGAAAGATAAAAATAAAAAACATCAACTTGGTTATTTTAATTTTTCACAAAAATTACAAGGTATATTATTACCTAAAACTTTGCCATAGTTTTGCAGGAAATCAGTATAATCTGATATTTACCCTTAAAAGCTCACCCCCATCACTGGTCAATTGTTTTTCCTTACATTCCTGTTATATTCTTCTTTCTCTCCAATGGGTTTCATCCTATATCATGAATTTACTCTAGGGTTTGAAATGGTCAAGAAAAGTTTCAATTATCCTTTGATATATTTACATGGTTCAATTCTCTCTCAACTGTGGAAAGAAGTTTCAAGGTAGGAAAAACTTTTTTGACCAATGGTTTTTGCTCTAATAAAGGTGTGAATTGAAACCATTTTGAAATACAGAAGTCTAATATCCAGAACCTTTGTTTTTTATATTCTGGGTTTATAGATTCAATGAAACTAAGAATTAAACTAACAACTAAGAACTAAAGAAGTTGAATACAAGGAAACATTCATGAGGGTTTATACATTTACATCTGTCATTTAAATCAAGAATTAAGAACTACAAAGTTGGCCAACTTTCAACTTAACAACTAGAATTATGAAATTCTGGAGACAGAACATGAATATTGGATTTATGTAGTCCAGTTTGATGATATCAAATTGGTATATTTATTATGGATTCATCTCGGGATTCATGAATAGTGGAGACCAAAATCTCTTTTTTACATCATATTAATCTTTAATCAGAAGACATTTCACATTTAATTCTTAATTAATATCAAATATGTATAAAACACTGCTCTCATGATTGTTTATTGTTGATTGTTAATATAATTCCTAATTGTTAATGTAATATCTATAAACCCAGCATTACCTCCATAAAACTTTTTTATAGTTTTCCTAGTTTTTTAATGTATCCTGAGGCTGCTTAACCCTGACAAAATTAGATGAATTTATTACTCACAATTTCATCAATTTCTAGTCGATTTTCGATTTCCAGTAGTTTGTCCAAATTCAAAACATCTTGTGCTCTGGGAAGACTTATAGGCACCCTCAAAGCAGCATCAACAGTGGGTTCATCAATTTGTTCTGAAGGCGATTCATATTCATCAGAAACCGAAGATTCTGAATCTGATAATTCAGATTCGGAAATGTACTTGGAATCATTACCACCCATCATTCGACGAATCCACCTAAAATAAAGCTTATATCCGAGTCTTCGCGGGTTTTGAGGGATAATGGCTAAGTAGATATGTTTGATTATTCCGTACGTACGGGGAATTATTCGTGAATGTTTGAAATTAAAAAGGAATACTCAAGATTCAAGATCTACACTACGACCTAGGAGTCCTACGACAACATGGAACATGGAACAACGCATTCGCATTACGCACGTACGCACCCATAAGCACTTGGAAAAGCCATAAAAACAGATAGGGGAATCCCGGAGGATTCTGGAATCTACCACTAAACACAAAGAACAAAAAAAACAGCTGTTCTCCGACTCGACAACGAACAACAACAATCGTCGAGCGTCATAGAAACAGTGTTGCCGGCCAAGCAACTCAGAATGTACTAAAAAATCACCGAAAAAGGTACTAGATTTTCGAGAAAAGTACTAGTTTTGATTTTCATTTTCATTCGAACTTCCTACCATATATTATGCTACCATTAAATGAGGAAAAGGAGGGGGGGGAGGTAATAGACAAGGAAAAAAATTATAAAAAGTTATTTACTCAAAATTATGATTATCTCATTTATCATTAGTCAACACACTGCAAAACAGTCGATTGAGTCCATCGTCATTCTGTCATTCAATTGGTCATTCAGTATTATTCATAATCATATAACCAGATAAAACTGAACAAAATGAAAACAACAATCAATGGACAAAAATGACAATATACAATATCGACACGTGATATGAACTGCATAGTACAGGCAGAACAGACATGCATCATCAGCACGACTCAAAACTTTGTTTGAATGGAAAACAATAATGACATTTCACTGATATTGAATATTGAACTTTTTTTGGTTCGTTTCGGTAATGTCGATCGATATTTCTAGTCAAAACGTGGAAAACGTACGAAATTTGCGATCGGCGTACTAACGTGTTAGACAGAGTGAAAAAGTACTAGATCTAGTACGAAAGTCTGGCAACGCTGCATAATTCAAACAACCATGATTTCCGATGATGACATACTTTTCTACCAATCAGAACGATTCAAGCTATAGCGGTGAATTTGATTTAAGATTCTAAAGATTTCTGTGGTCGGCATTATTTCAACTTCCTTCAACTCAGACTACTTCAACCTAATATACATCAATAGATAATTGAGTTAGGAGGTGTAGAGTGACTATTCACTCTAAGGAGGTGTATGGGGTGGTCTGTGTAGAAAATCCGTAAGAGGCGCTGATATCGTCATATCAATGGCCACCCATCGTACCAAATAATAACATTCACGGCAAAAAAATAAAGGAATGGGGTTAGTACGTTCATTTTTGATAGTGTTCAATATAATTATGAAAATTGAGTCCCTATTTCCATTTTGAAGAGAAAAATTATCATCAGTTCTACCAACCTTTGAGTTCTCATTCAGCGACATCTTTTAGAATAAGATGTAACAAGAATATTGCAGAATAAAACATAAAAGCGCATCAGTGTGCAAACACCATCGATTGACATGTTACGAGCATCAGTGCATCGTTTCGACAAGAGGTGGCACTTTATGATAGTTGTTGTAAAGGTTGGTAGAACTGATGACTATTTTTGCCCAAGTAGAACATCTTCGGGAGATCAAATGACCCTGAACTCCCTGAAGCGAATATCTGTCTAGATCTAGAATGAATCAGATATATGTTAGGGAATATTTAAACGAGGATGGTCAGGTTAAATAAAGTTGAGATGATATGATATTCTATATGTTCTAACATGCAGCACCCAGCGTAATTAATTATACAGGGTGTATCTAAACAACAACGAAAAAAATCAAGTGGTGATTCCTGGTGATATTTTAGAAAATGAGCTTCATATAAACATGTGCCCCAACTTATTATTGCTTAGTTTTCGAAATACAGGGTAATGATATTTCCATGAAATATCGTTATTTTATTCATTGCTCAATTATTGTCTTTTCATCAATTTCAATAAAACATTGTGGTTTTGTTAGTACTAATATGGAGCTCCTTCTGGTGCAATTAGATTCGAAATAATATTTCCAGTGGCGTCGATATTTATATGCATGGTGATTGTCATTATATTACGCCTCCGATTTTTCTTACTTCAATATTTTTGTTAGATTGAACTATATTGAAATAACAACTTATTTATCCTCTGTGTGATTTTCGTATCAAGCTTATTTTTTGAGGAATCAATAAAAATTCGATTTGACTCCAAATTTTGATGTAGGTGCTTTCACAAGACTTCCATTGAGATTACTCAATAACCCCAATTAGAACCATTTTGAAAGTTTGTCAGTCTCCAACCATACTGAATTTTTGCACCATGAACGCTCGCTTATACAGGGGGTTATAAATAAAAATAATCATTACTATACCATCTTATTCAACATCCTGTATCTCAAAAACGGAACAAGTTAGGCCACATGTTTATATGAACTCTATTCGCTAGAATATCACACCACTTGAATATTTTCGGTCTTATTATCATCAGATATTAACCATCAAAATATCAAATATTGATTACGTCACAAATTACCACATCCCACTCCTCGTCGCTGTTTCTTATCAAGACAAAGACAACTTCATGCAAACCCCACTTCATAATTATTAGCACCCTATATATACATCAGGGTGAGTCGTTAGTGTGCCAAAGTGAGATAACGACTTTACTGTTTGAGATAGATGAACAGAAATTCCACAGATGATCTAGGAGGATCATGAGCAGCACATTTCCAAATTATTTCGCTTCATACATAGTGACTCATAAATGCGTGACGTAGGTATCAAAGTTATACTTTTTCTTATGGTACGCACCCTGTATTTCATTGCATTTTCGCATTCTCCTTTGTGAGCTGATTTCATCAATGCATCACCCTTGGGGTCTAGCGAGAATGATTACAGAGATATATATAGGGTGTTCAAAATCGAAATTTTTCAAAATTTGTTGTTATTTTCTATCGCGAATGTCATGCATTTATTCATGATCGTGAAGGATTCAATACATATTCATTTCATAATTATATTATATGTATACGGGTGCTGAACCCGATATATATGTGAGGAATGTTCTCTAAAATTGGCCGTATTTAGAAATCTTCTCATATAATTCCAAAACCGGACAGTTTCAACATTCACGCTTTACTCCTGAATTCAATAGTTTAAACGTTTGAAAACTGGCATTTTGGTCATTTCAAACCCAAAAACTAGAATAATCGCTTCAAAACTGGCATTTTGGTAGGAAAAAAATAGTTGTCGCGGTGACATCTTCTTTATACTGTCAAATTTAACCTATGGTTAAAAGATTGAAAGCAAACATTCGACTTTTTGGGCATAAATAAGTTTTTGGCGTTAAAAGTATTGGATGATAATGTTGATTAGGTATATATAAGAAGATTCCTAAAAATGGAATACCTAATATACGGGTTATTGTTCCATAACTTCCATTCAAAGAAATAATTCAAGATGGCGCTTAGTCGCCATATTAAGACTTCAAGCTGCCATTCTTCATAAAAAAGTAGATTTTCATCTTCTATTTGAGGCCTCCAAATTTAGTTGCGATATATCAGGTGTTTCAAAAATGAGTAAGGGGTATAATGCATGTACATTAGACGGACAGTGTATATAGATTTATCCTATGGATGAAAAGGATGAACAAAATCCTTGCCCATGGACATGAGACCTTATACTGGACATATCCAATGGATGTCCTACGTTAATACATCATAGAAAAAGTCAAAAAATCACGTGAAACTAACAACACTGTTCAGATTGGTTCAGATACTGTTCTCATTTCTCGTTCACTCAGTTTCACTTTCCATGCGTATTGCGTAGGTACACTCACCCCTGAGAATCGACCCTCGTTCGATTTCCCCTACAACCCCTATAACGACCCTTCCACTGCGTCACCGTTGCGGAGGGGGTAGTCGGCCATTACGAAACGGGCGGGAAAATGTAGTCGTTCACCCCGGCCACGGCCGACTATGATAGACTATCTTTGTGCCGAATGAATAATGTTTTTATGTATTCAAATTCGGCGCTGGAAATAGCATTAGTGTTTTGTTTTTCGGCTAAATGGAGATGAAAGGTATCGCCCGCGAATTTTGATGAGTGCGTAGGTATTGGTAATTATTTTTTGTTCGAGCTGCATATACAGGGTTTAATTGAATTGATGGCTGAAAATATATAGGATAAAGTTCCTTATCAGCTCATTTCAATTCAAGGAGGAAATTTCATATGAAAATACCGGAAAATATGCCCTAACCTCTCACAACGTTAAAAACTGTTACGTGTATGAATATTTGTCAAATTAAGACCGCAACGTAATCGATCAAAAGTCATTATATTTGAGAAAACTATTTTTTCGATGTAGGTACTGTGATGTCATCTCGCATCACATCGTATTTTTATCGCAAAACACATCGCTTTTCCATCACAAACAACATATCGCATATCGCAATTGCATTGAATGAAAAATATTGCAGAGATCCTATCGCAGTTACGTCCCACATGGATGAAATAACATCCCTCTGATGTCGCAGCGACGTAGATGCTACATAGAATAAGATATCACAGATCACAATTGTTACATCGATGCGATATCTCTGTGATGTAATTGAATTTGCTGGTATAATATGTTGAACAGCACTTGCTATTTTTGAGAAAATCAGTAATCTGATTACTTATTGAATTCTGAAGAAGAAAGCATTCACTTGAAATATTCGAAATATAAGAATATATCCTAATGTAGGTTCTCTATAAAACATCCAAAAATAAGTATTTTTCAAAATATTATTTCCAGAGATATCTAAGTACATATTTCATGCTAGAAAGTAGAAACTTATGATATTTTTTGTTTTTCGAAGATAGCAGCAGAGCAGAAATTAAAAAAAAATTATGGCATAATACATCTTCACTTGTGAAGGCACATGTTTGAACGATGCGCTATTTAGGGAAAGGTTCAAACATAATTATATTAACCACTTTATTCGTTTTTCGTGCAAGAACTGGA